ATGGTGGTGGCCGTCAACGTGCTTGGCGCCTACCTGGGGACGAAGCACGCGGCGCGCGTCATGGCGCCGGCGCGCGCAGGCAGCATCGTGACGACGGCGAGCGCGGCGTCGGTGATGGGGGGGCTCGCGTCGCCGGCGTACACGTGCTCGAAGCACGCGGTGGTGGGGCTGATGCGGTGTGCCGCGGCGGAGTTGGGGCCGTTTCGGGTGCGCGCGAACTGCGTGTCACCGCACGCAGTGGCGACGCCGATGGCGAAGACGGCGTTGGGCTTCACCGACGATGAGGAGCTGGAAAGGCTGGTGGAGGCGACGGCCAACCTCAAGGGCACGATGCTGAAGGCGCAGGACCTGGCCGAGGCGGTGCTTTACTTGGGCAGCGATAAGTCAAGGTACGTCAACGGGCACAACCTTCTGGTCGACGGAGGGTTCACCGTGACCAAGAGGTGGTAGCCATCCAGCGATGCAGACAGCTTCTGCAATTGCTTGCAATAAGTGATGAGGGAAATGGAACTGTTAACGCAGGAATCAACATTCTGCCAGTAGTCTTTGCTTGGTGTGAAACTTACGTTGGTTTTGGCATTCACCAATTGGCATCCTCCACGACCGTACCAGACATGCAAAACCAATAATAGTTCATTGAAGCCTTCCATAAACAAAGGTAGCTATGACTCAGAAGATTTATAATATCCCACACTAGCATTAAAAGACTGCATCAAATACAACAGCAGTCTTAAGCACAGCCATTTTGTCATGAATACCAAGCATTCAGCGTCTCCTATATATCACGCAAATCATGTGCCATTAAGTTATAAATAACTAAATGTTCATCTCTTATATATAACTAAATGTGCATCTCAATAATTATTAGATCGTACTAAATTATAAAATTTAAAATCATATTACCATCTTTATTTTTTTCCTCGTAACCAAAGCTATCATGTCCCCTTTATATTCATCATATGCTTTCACAATATGATCATTTAAATCTCCTCTAATTTTAGGTTTTTTCATTATAAACATTCCTGGCATGATATATTGAATCTCGGATTTTGATGATAAAATCAATTGATAAGTGTTTATGATTTAACCTGTGTTTTGAGTGACACATAATACTTCGATCAGGATGAGACAATTAAAGCAGGAAGAATCATGTTAGGTCGGGGGAAAACATGTCAGAAGATTGGACGTTGAGCCGTTGGATCGGTCGACGTATCGACAGAAGACTTCGAGCCATGGATTCGGGCATCGAACCAAGAAGAGAGGATATTGCGCTAAGGATATCAGAGTTGCGGAGTCAACTGGCCGATTGGGCAATAGTCCGTAAGAGAGAACGATGCACCGAAGAATCGGACGAAGCGTCAAAAGACCAATGAAATGTCGGACAACATGATTCATGCTTAGTATTAATTGTCTAAATCGAAGTGTATTTTTACATATGCAGGATTAACTACGATAGCATGACATAAAGCAAACTGAAGTCTCGGGTCGGGGTCAAGGACATGATTTCGTTGGGAGTTCGAGAGTTCATCGGAAGTTCAGACTTTCGTCGGAAGTTCTGTAGGAACCAACCGAGAAGTCCACGTGCTTGCCAAAGGAGCTCGTCAGAACTCGCAAAGAAGATCGTCGTGAAGTCCAAGAGCTTATTGGGAGTATGTTGGAATATTGCCCGAGAGTTCGTCGAAAGTTCGCCGAAAGATCACCGGAAGCTCGCCGGAAGAAACCAAGATATAAGGACTTGTTTAGCTTAGTAAATGTCTTAGATTTCATAGTTAGCACATAATTAGATTTCTTAATAATCTCATAACCCTTGGGCGTCCAATGATAACACACTAAAAAAATAATATTTTTAAACTGTATAAAGTCCTTGACCTTCATACTGCCACAAAATCCTTACATAAGACCATTGAACCCACCATATTTACTCAAGCCTAAAAGTCTTCACATGACTCTATATGAACCTTTGTACCCTTGTACCGTTTCATCACATACAAAATATCGAGTGTAAGTGGATTTTTTGAATTAAGCGGAACCCAAATGGATCCATTGCCAGATATAAAGTACGACTAGTAGCCAAAGGGTTTCATCAACGACCTGGTATTGACTTCCTAGAGACATTTAGTCCGGTTGTTAAACCCATAACAATCCAACTTATCGTGAGTTTGGCTATCATAAAAGGTTGACACTTATGACAATTGGATATTAACAATACCTTTTTATAGAGGACTCTAACTGAAGATATCTTTATACAACAATCTCTTAGCTTCATCTATCCTTAATATCCAAGGCATGTTTGTATATTATAAAAAGCTATTTATAGACTTTGTCAAGCTTCAAGAGCTTGGTACACCAAACTTGCTCGTTTTTTACATTAATTGGGTTCATCAACTCCAAATCTAATGCCTTACTATTTCTAGGGTAACAAAATGGAGGTACAATATATCTTTTGATTTATGTGGATGACATTATTACTTTGGGCAATAATCCTATGGAGATCAAGGTTTTTTCCTCAAGCAATTGGCAGATTGATTCTCTCTCAAAGATTTAGGAACTTTAAGTTACTTAATGCC